AAAAAAAAAAAAAAAAAATAGCATGTATAATACTTGTCATGGATGGAAAATAATGTAATATATCTTTCAGTTTTTATTGAAATATAACATTTAATAGGAATAAGTTCAAAAATAGTATATATGATTGTCATGTATGGAAAATAACGTATATATATCATTAAGCTTTTTGTTGAAATATAAAACTTTAAAGAAGTAAGTTCAAAAATCATATGTATATAATTCAATGAATTTTTACAACATGAACACACGTATAAAGAAAAACTTTAGTCTGGGCACAGCGGCTTATGCCTGTAATCCCAGCACTTTGGGAGGCCAAGGTGGGTGGATCATGAGATCAGGAATTCGAAACCAGCCTAGCCAACATGGTGAAACCCCGTCTCTACTAAAAATGCAAAAATTAGCTAGGCATGGTGGCGCACGCCTGTAATTCCAGCTACTTGGGAGGATGAGGCAGGATAATTGCTTGAACCCGGGAGGCGGAGGTTGCAGTGAGCCGAGATAGCGCCACTGCACTCCAGCCTGGGCCACAGGGCAAGACTCCCTCTCAAAAAAAAAAAAAAACAACTTTAAAGAAGTAGACTTTTAATGTAGGAGTCAGATATAGGACTGTTTCAGAGGGAAAGAAAATAAACTGGAAAGGAAGCAGAGGGAACAGGAAGACCTCTCTGAGAGATCCAGATGTGGCTGCTAAATGCTCCCCTTAGGAAAATGGGGGAGTGGGAGAGGGATATAGGGGAGGAGGGTTGGGCCCCAGGAGTGGAGGGCTTCCCTAGTGGCAGGCGTGGGTCTTATCAGAGCCTGCTATGAGCTGACAGAGGTTAGGGAGTAAAAAGAAATTGGAGTGAAAAGAGGATGGAGTATGGACTTGAAAGGTTGGAGGGAAAACATGAAGGTACACACTGGAGACATCAAGGAAAGAGAGATCTCTGTAAAGGCCACAGAGAAACAAGGCTGGAAAAAGGGAAAGAGATGTCAATGAAAGCAGGAGAAATTTCTGTTGCATGTGCAGTGAGCCTGGTAAAGTGAGGAGGGGTGAGAAGTCTCTAGAGCTGACTCTTTTAGAAGAGAAGAGGTGGTCCTATGGGCAGTGCTTCCTGGCATGGGCTGGGCACAGGACCTGAACTACTTGCAGGTCCCAAGAAGGGCCATGTTCCCTCTTACCTGCACGCCTTTGTATGTGAACACCTTCCCTCAGATTCATCTGTTTTTTCAGTTTGTTTTGTTTGTTTTGAGACGGAGTCTTGCATTGTCGCCCAGGCTGGAGTGCAGTGGCACGATCTCAACTGACTGCAACCTCTGCCTCCCAGGTTCTAGTGATTCTTCTGCCTCAGCCTCCCAAGTAGCTGCGATTACAGGCACACGACACCACACCCAGCTAATTTTTTGTATTTTTAGTAGAGATGGGGTTTCACCATGTTGACCAGGCTGGTCTTGAACTCCTGACCTTGTGATCTGCCCACCTCGGCCTCCCAAAGTACTGGGATTACAGACGTGAGCCACAGCGCCCAGCCTCAGATTCATCTTTATGTCAAAGCTTCAACATCACTTCCCCCAGGAAGTCTTTTCTGTCTGTCCTAGAGTGGGATGAGGCACCTCTGGTTTGCTCCACCAACCCCCATTCTTCTCCCATCACGGCTCCCATCAGGCTGTATTTTAAATGCTTGTTTACCTGTTTCTCCCACTAACCTATAAAATATACGCTGGGCGAGCCCTGCCTGGCCTCCATGTGGTGGAAGAACAAGTTGGACGCTTGAAGATAACCAGTGGGAAAGCTGGGAGGAACCGGGGCATGCTTTGGCGCCCTTTCCTATCTGATTGCTGTTAAGACTTTGATGAGAGATAGTGATTGGAGGGATGCAACCAGCCTTGGTCACTTGGTGCCTCTCCTCCTCATGATTTGGGATGTAGTGGCAGAGGAGTAGGCATGGGTGGCAAATGGCATGCTCAGCGCAAGGTTGCCTTTATCCTGGCATGGGGTAGGGAAATGGTATCAGTGCAGGAGTGATGCCTTGGAAAGGGATATCCTCTCTGGGTACTGCAGATGCAGCTTCGGAGGGCCCAGGACAGCCCTGACCTGGACAGGCGGAGTGCAGAGGCTGCCCTGAGGCTCGGGTGTAGGTGCCCCCGAAGGCTGGTAGTTGTTAAACCCTAGCCGGCAGCCTGGGAGTCGGTGCCTCTCTCAGAAGTGCTCTTGCCTGCCTCCCTGATGGGTGATGAGCTCTTACTTCTGGCACTTTGGCATGGAAGTGACCTTTCACAAAGCTTACGGGGTTTGTGAGGCCTGGGGTTTGAAGCCTTTCTGTTCTAAAAATAGCTTTGGCTGTTTTTATGTGCTATTTCATGTTTTGTCTCAGGCAGTCCTTATAGCCCTACAAGGTAAGTGATGATTCCGTAGTTCACAGTTAAGGATAGTGAACTGAAAACATCAGCTAACTTTCTCCAGATCTCCCTGTTAGTAAATGGCAGGGCCAGGATTGGAATTCAGGTCTTCCTGGGATCACAGCTTATGCTCTTAACCCCTATGATTATGATACTCCTTGGCTCAGGGTTCCCAGAAGGCAATTCAGGGGTTGCCAGTTAGTGTCAGAAGGAAGAGTGGGGCCAGTCGTGGTGGCTCATGCCTGTAATCTCAGCACTTTGGGAGGCCAAGGTGGGTGAATCACTTGAGGTCAGGAGTTCAAAGCCAGCTTGGCCAATGTGGTGAAACCCTGTTTGTACTAAAAATACAAAAATTAGCTGGGCTTGGCGGTGCATGCCTGTAATCCCAGCTACTTGGGAGGCTGAGGTAGGAAAATCGAACCCAGGAGGGTGGAGGTTGCAGTGAGCCAAGATCACGCCACAGCACTCCAACCTGGGTGACAGAGTGAGTGAGACTCCATCTCAGAAAAAGAAGGAAGGGTGGTCAGAGGTGAAGTGTAGCAGGGATTATGCCAGGGGCTCCTTCCTACCTGTGACTTCTGCAGACACTTCACTTTGCACAGTAGTAGTCCTGTAGATTTGGGATCTGACTGGGGACTGTTTGCTCATTGTGTTATTACTTACAGTGCTTAGTAATGTTTTCAAGTTGAGTTTTCTTATTGAAGCAGAATGTGTCTTCAGAGATGCTTTTATTCTGATTTTTAAAATTTAAATTTAGCTTTGTTTTCTTTGCATTGTTCTCCTGAGTAAAAGAATGATCTCTAAACTCAAACATCAGTGTATCAGGGAGCTGTTGTATTACAGAAATCCAGTTTAAAGGTAAGACTTTTAAAGTGAAAAACATCATTTTGTGTGGAAATAAGCATCCTTTAATGTATCTGTTTGGATGGACTTCAGAATTTTGGAGGTGAGGATTAGATACCTTTAGCTCTATTTCTAACAAGCTGTTCCTCACTCTTTCTCCTCCCTATTCCCCTCAATTTTTTCAGATCACACACCCAGCTGGCTGCATGTCTCAGTTCATAAAGTTCTTTGGAGAACAGATCCTCATCCTCTGGAAATTTGCCTTACTTCGAAAGCGCATTTTGATATTTTCTCCCCCACCTGTGGGCGTGGTGTGCTATAGAGGTAACCAGAAGCCAGAGTCAGGGGTGCTGCTTAAATCCCTGGAGCAGAAACTGCTTGAGTCTTTCTGTCACTGATCAAGTCTGGAAGAGTTTGGGCCACATCAGGGGGATGGGGTTTTAAGCCCAGGAATGACCTGATTGGCTGTGAACGCTGGTGACAATGTAGAAGATGGGTTGGATGACACATCAGTGGCGTGGCCAAAGATTAGGGTCTGGATTAAAGCAGAGAAGATGCATTCTAGATGTATTTTAGAGAAACTGGACAAAACTTGTCAGATTGGATTGTAAAGGTTCTGATGTGTGTGAGGCTGCAACGGAAGAGTCTAGGATAACAAGGGTGGTGGGGCCACCAGATGGGGGACTGAGGAGCAGCCGGGGGCTGGCTTGAAAAGGTTAGTGTGGGATGTGATGAGGGTGTGCTGCCTTGAGACCTTCACAGCAGGGGTGTCCGCCCACCCTGCATAGCTGGGTCAGGACCTGTGGGCGTTTGAGCTGGAGATAAAGATTTGAGGGAGATAGATTATTTCTGCACTCATATCTGAGATGGACAGCATTACCTGGGGAAAGTACAAGTGTGGAGGGGTGTTCCAGACACAGGAGGTGGACCAGAAAGGTGGAAGGACAGAAAGGACTGGGGAGGGACAGGCAGAAGGGGGAACCAGAAGACACAAGGGTTATAGAGGTCGGAGTTCTGACAAGGTCAAATTCTAAGCAAGACCAGCTAGAGAGAGACTGAGAAATGTTGACTGGGTTTGGGAAGCATGTTGCTGACGTCACCTTGAGGGATCAGTTTCTCCTGTGGGACCTAAAGAGGCTTGCTACCTCCAGTCCCCTCCGAATGCCAGGACCGCCTGGCTCCTGAGGCACCAGATAGCCTAGAGCAGAGGTGTTGAGCTGCAGGCTTCAAGGGAGGAAGGGGGTGGAGGGGCAGACCCTCCCCGCTCACCTCCTCTGTCCCCACAGTGTACTGCTGCTGCTGCTTGGCCAACGTTTCACTGCCTGGCATCGGGGGCACCATTCCTGAGTCCAAGCCTTTCTTCTACGTGAACGTGGCCGACATCGAGAGCCTGGAGGTAGAGGTGTCCTATGTGGCCTGTGAGTACGGGGCCCTCCCCTCATCTTTCCCTCAGGTCCCAGCCCTGCTCCTGCCAGACGCGGGGCTCCTGGGAGCCTTGCTTCCCAGTGGGGTCGGGTGGGTTCCCGCCTCTCTAACCCCGGGTTCCACAGGCACCACAGAGAAGATATTTGAGGAGAAGCGGGAGCTGTATGACGTCTACGTGGATAACCAGAACGTGAAGACGCACCACGACCACCTGCAGCCGCTGCTGAAGATCAACAGCGCTGACAGGGAGAAGTACCGCCGGCTCAATGAGCAGAGGTAGCGGCAGCTACGGGGAGAACCAGGGGCTCCACCCTCCTCAGGGCAGCCCCAGCATGGGGTCTCTGCAAAGCCTGTCTTCTGTCCCTTCCCTGATGCATTTCTGCCAGTCTCCATGCTGCCTGGGATGGAGATGGAAACGAAGGGAAGGCCTGCAGTGGAAGAGGCCAGGCTCCCTGTATGCTGCCCTGATAGGAGGGGAGTAGATCCACGGTGCTGGTTTCTTTCTTCTCATGGACTTTGGAATCTGAGCACCTTGACTGAGCACCTTCATTGTGTTGGTCGCTGTATTAGAAGCTTGCTTATATGTATCTGATGTCATTCTCAATAATCTGGTGATCCTATGAAATAAATGTTATCATCATCCCCCACTGATAGACAACTAGGAAAGATTGTTACTTGCCTAAGATTACCAGGGGCAGAACTGGCCCTGGACCCCAGGAATTTTGAGTCCAAACCCTGTTGATCCCTTTCCTGGCTGGTGCTGCTTCCTGGGAGGTGGTGGCCCATTGAAGATGCCTGGCTGAGGCCTCACCTGTGACTGGGGTCCTGGTACCTGCACCAGAGTCTCATGGTTCTCTCCTTCCCAACAGGCAGATGCTGTTGTACTCCCAGGAGGTAGAAGAAGACTACAACCCTTGTGAAGAGGACCTCTTCGTGCTGTGAGTCCTGGGGCCATGGGCGTGGGGTCTCCCTGAGGATCCCTTCAGCACCGAGTGACCTGCATCCCTCCCATGTCACTCACTGCAGACCAGGGATGCCCTTTATTGCTGCCAAGGGCACTTAGAGCCAGGCTCCTTACAGAGGCAAACCTGAGCCCTGAAATGCCATTGGGGGAACCCAGAGGACTTACGGAAAGAAGCAGGGCCCTTAAGAGAAAACAGGAGTCTTAGTGTTTCTTTTCTTGTTGGGCTTTTACATCAAGGATGTCCACTGCATAGAAGCTGTCTGTCCCTCAGGATTCAGGGACTTCTCCTTTCCATTGCCTCCTTTGAATAGAGTAGTTCCTTGCACTGAGTGTTATGGGATAATCTGAAATTTTAATTCTTGAATCAAATGAAATCTCTTTGCCCCGTAGGGGTAGGAACCAGGCAGGGCCTTTCCACCTCACAGCACTGACTTCATTCCTAGACAGCTGGGTGCAGTAGCCTTCTGTGCTGTGAGCTGAATTCTCCCAGCTTCCTCTTTGGTCTTCCAGGGCTGAGGTTGTGGTTTGATGTTGAAAACTTAATGTGGGCATTTCTACAAAGGTGCAGCATCTTGATTCTAATAGTGGACTTCCTAAAACCTACATCCTGTTTAGGTGGAAAGTATCTGAGGCTTGAGCACAGCCACAGTCTCATCCAGTATGACATGTACCGCTGTGTCTGAAATTCCTGAGCACCCAGGGCCACTTCAGGTACCGGGCACTTTGCAGACCTGAGAGCTGCATGGGGCTGGACTGTCTAGTCTAACTAGACAGTGAGCGCTGTCCTGAACGGGGCTTGTTTGTTCATAAAGCACTCTAAAGCAGTGACTTTTAAATCCTGATCTGTGCATCTCACTCCTCCCAGAGAGTCATCAAGGGAGAGCAAACACCCAAGGGTAATGTTGGCTCATGTTCATTTTGTTGGTGGTGTTGAATTTTTGCTTCCTCCTATGACTGAGCAGAAAGAGAAAGCAGTGTGTGGGGGCCTCTTCTCAGGCTGTGTTTCAACCCCAGTCACTTCCCTCAACAGGAAAATGGATTTTGACAGGCCATCTTGTTTAGAGATTTCCCTAATCACACCATAATTAGTGCCAAATGGTTTCTTTGCTAACTTTAGTAGCACTTGAATAACTGTTTAACTCTTACTCTTTTCTTGTTTTAAGATACCTGCGAATCCACTGAAAGTACATTAAACAACAGTATAGTTTTGGTTCCCCATATGTGGATTATCTAGTGAGTTTTTTTTCCCCCTTCCTTTCCTGTGTCTTGTCTTCTAAATGCAGATTTTTCCTAGAACAAAACAACCGGATATTTCAGACTTTGTTGGAGGTGTCTGCCAGTCAAGACAAAACTCTGACAGCAGAGCATGCCCGGGGCATGGGCCTAGACCCCCAAGGAGACCGGAGCTTTCTCCTGGACCTGCTGGAGGCCTATGGCATTGATGTCATGCTAGTCATCGACAACCCCTGTTGCCCGTAGGAGCCAACAGGACTGGGAGCCGCTTCATGTGGGATGTCAGCAGCCTGGAGTTCACCCCAGGCCCCCAGAGGGCCTCATTTTTTATGAAGTTGACACGAAGGAATATTGTTTATACTTTCCAACAAACATAATTTTTGCAATTTCCTTTCTGCCCTTTTCCCTAGAGATAAGGTGAGATCGCCTTGGTTTAGTGTCGTGCCATGTTAGGATATTGGAATCTGCCACTTTCTCCCAGAGCTGCTGGTCCTTTGGGCTTGGTCATAGGAGTTGTATCACTAGGAGTGGGCTGAGCTCTGGAAATATTGGGATGCACTGTTCAGAAAGTTTGTGCGGTCTTTGTCCCTTGACGTATTTGAGAATAAGACAACCATCTGTCCTCTGTGGCTTTAAGATGTTCATCTGCCTAAAGGCAGAAACTAGACCGGATGATCTTTTAAAGTTTTTAGTAGCTCTAGGAGTCTTGGGATCAAATCCCTTTTCTTGTTCACTGGGGCAACTTTATGTCTTCTCTGTTTACTTGAGTAGGGACCACAAAGAAGGAAAAAAGGATGTTTCTGACACCAAATGGGAGCTTATCTTACGGTCAGAATGACAGAGGTTGCTTATCAGTGAGCTGAAGACTAAAATTGTAGATTGAAGCCGTGAAACCTTCCTCAAAGTAACTTCATGGTGGCCATGCAAGTAATGTTCCTCTTTCTCTAAACCCCTCCTCTTGGGATGAATTGGTGAACTGTTAAGGGCCAGTGCTGGCCTTGGAGCTTGCAAGCAAATTAATTTTCCAATTTAGTCTCTTAAGGGTTCAATATGCTCTTGGAGTAAGGGGTATTTTTAAAGGCTGAAGTTTGGGCTGCTGGAGGATAGAGCAGTTGAAGTTCGAACAGGATGGAGAAGTCACTCTAAGTCTCTTCATCTGGACATGAGTTCTCTGGAGGCATTAGCAGTAGCAACTCTGAATCAACACAGATTTTCTGGATTCCGAAATCTAGCAAGGATCTGAGCTGGTTAACTCAGAGGGTGGAGCATGATGCTAACAAGACCGTTCATCATTTTGGACCCCTCACAAACACACTTTTCTTTAGCAGAGGTGACATTCCTTAGGCTAAATCTTTGGATCCAGGGACATAACAGATTTGTTGAGAGAAAATGTGGCAGTGCCTTCACCCAGGACAGTGGTCAGGAAGCCCCGAGCATCACTGATGGATTTATCCATTCTCTTCTGAAGTGCTCTGCTCTAGGCTGGGTCCCATTTTCACCTGCCTGTCCTCTGATTGGCTTTTGCAGGAGGGCAGCTTACGTGTTTGTCAACCAGTTAGAAAGCCAGTTCCTGTGGGTTGAGTTTAGGCCTTCTTAGCCATGATTGAGAATTTTGACTTGGGATACTGGGTTGCTGGTGACAAATAATGTCTTCCTCTTCCCCCTTCCCGCCTGGCTCGATTATGGGAATAGCCGTCAGTGCATCTACATCTGTGACCAAGACCCAGCCAGACTAACATACACGGCAGAGAGAAATAACATTCAAATGGTGGGTCACACATCTCATCTCAAGATAAGGTGCTTAGGGTTCACTGCTTTATTCAAAAGTATTTTCACTGTAGCTCCTTCATATGGAATATCAAAACTGAAGAAATTCACACGTGGACATGCAAATAGACATTGATTAATCAAGGTAGCATCTTTATGTAAATATATAAATAAGTTTGGGCATTGAAATGTAAACTGTACAGCTAATACACGTCTCCTCTGCAGTGTTGGTCGCTGTCATTTCAGTAATGTAGATGTTTACAAAAGAAAAAAACATCCGTGTTTCGAGGTTGAAGACTCATCTTTTTTTCTCCTTTACACACAACCCCTCCTCTTGCCTCTCAAGGGTTGAGGGGTCCTTTCTAACTTAAGGCTAATGGTTACTTTTCATGGTATCCTGAGGTTCAGGGTGTTTTAAGCTGGGGGTAGGTGGTTAGAGGCAGGAGCAGGAGTGAAAGGAAAGGTCTGATTCTCCTAGAGGACACAGGAAGACCTTTTTCTGGAATTAGGGAATCTGCCAGGAGGAGCTGTTTTAGGCACTTCTGCTCCGAGCCTTCTATATGCAAACACTCTGCGGGTTTAACTGCAAGCTCAGAAGTGCTGGTGTAAACATAGCAGGGTGAGAATGAAGTTCCTGCATTTTCCTGTGAATGGTGAGTCAGGGCTTCTGGGTTCCCTTAACTTTGTGCTTGTCTCGGTAGCTTTCTGTCTCAGTCCACCCTCCCGCTCATGCAGAGGGCCAGGGTATGGGTGGCCACAAAGGAGAATGTGCCAGTGAGGCAGTGAAATATTTTCTGAGCAACCATCTGCTTTTGTTCAGAAGAAAGTGCTGAACATCGTTCACAGACTTCTAGGTCTGTAAGCTCTTTAGGGGCGGGCATTATGATTACCATTGGCCTCCTGGAGGAGGGTTGGAAACTTGTGGTGTGATACCTTCTGCCACTATCTCCTGCTGGGCCTCAGCCCTGGCCTGCCTGAGCAGGCCTAGTTCTCCTGTGAAGCTTTCAGCCTGACCTCATGCCACACTGTGAAACGAAACATGAGCCAGTTGAGAAATAATTGCTGAGCTGAGACGCTGGCTGGTCTGCCCTGTTGTTCCTAAGTCAGAAGAAATTCCAGGTGGGAGGAGAATTCAGGTTTGGGGCTTGTTGGTGTCCATGTAAAATATGACAAAGGCCTGTTCAAGGGGGTGTTTTCAATCCTGTGGGCTCAGCAGATGATACTACTCAGCCTTTGGGAAAATGTCCAGTTGGCTCCTGGCTTAGGACTCTCCACAAGGAGTTCCAAATGGTAGGGCTTATCCCCTACCAGAATAAAAGTATGGCCCAAATTATGTGTTTAGAATTTGCTTGGGCTTTAAACATGAAACATTCCCTCTGCCTGGTAGAGACAATTCCAGTGTCAGTGTCCCACCTGGGACCGCTACAGTCCTCAGTAAATTATGATTGCAATGAATTAGAAGGCTTTGTCTTCCATATCCATCATCCATTATAGCATCTGTGTCTCCATCTGGTTAGGGGGAGGGAAGCTGAAATCATTGATGTATCAATAGAAGTAATTTAGCTTAGGAACTTGCATCTAGAACTTACCTTGTTTTGTTCCACTTTAAAGTCAAGACAAGAAAGTTAAGCTAGCACACAGGTGCACGTGCTTCCAGATGCCACATGTGAACATTTGTTGATCATGTAACTACCGATGAGACTTTAGCTAGAAGATAAGTTAAATCTTAGCTAAATCATTGTTTTTCATTCTGGTGGCTATAAGGATGAATTTGCTCTCAGTCTTGATACATTGAAAGCCCTTCAAACACAAAGATGAAATCACTCACTTTTAAACTGAGGCCTTCGGGGAAGCTTTTGTAAAGGGCAGTAATGAATTAGGCTTTCAGTTGTAGGACATCAACCCTCCGAGAAGAGGCAGAGACCCGAGGGACCATTTATTTCCCTCTGAAACTGCACAGCCTGGGGAATGGACTGAGATGCTTTCTCCAGTCCCTGTATAGGTCATCCTTGCAGAGGTAGAGGAGGAGTGGGCAGGTGGATGAATAAAACAGGATAATGCTCAGCTTGGCAGTGAACTTGTCTTAGTGTGATGACAGTTCTAACATGGGCAAGAAAATCAGATTGGGGACCAATATGCCAGGCATAGGCTTTTATCTCCCTAATAGATCCCAAGCTGGTAGGCTTGGATTCTGCCAAATGGCCATCCCTCCTGTCTTCTCCCCTGTACCTTGTAGTTATACCGAGGTGAGAATCCTGCTGACCCCAGTCCCGTCCCCTCTCATTTCAGGAAAACCCTTTTCTGATTCAGGTAGGGGGAGAGGAGGAGTTAAGGGCTCCGTTTACTCCCAAGTCATGGATTTTTAATATTCCATTTTTATTACTAATATACCTCTGTTCCTAGAAGCTACTGGAGTCTTGAGTGTTGTGGGAAAAGGCTAACTGTGAATTAAGTTAATGTTTTTCTTACAAGAAATGGAAGTTTATTTTTTTATTGATATTACTATGTGATAAACTGAGTATGCATATACTGAAATGGAAGGAAATTTTAAAACTATTATTCTAGAAGAAATGGGCAGTTTTGTACTTTGGTGGTGGCTGAGACCCCATAGAAGTTTTACTTTGTAAATAATTTGGAGAGTGAATAAGGAGATTGTGCTATGAAATCTTGACATGCTCTTTAGGAGGTAGACTTGACAGTCCTAGGAAGGTTGACATAAAAATACCAACCTTAAGTAAAGCTCTAGTACAAAAAAGGGTAAATGTCATCATTCTTATTTTTAGGCCTCTTTCTTGAGAGAGGTGGGAGTGGGAGGTAGTGTTATAACTGGCACTTTAATTCGTTTTTGGAACTAGAATTTAGGGGCAGTTGGATGAAATTGCAAATTTTGAAGGGGAATAAGAATTTTCTAGTGCTCTATAAAGAAATGATGGAGAAAAAAGCCTTGCTTTCATCTTTTTAGAATTTATTCTTGATTTTTAGCACACTGTGGGGCTTTTAGAGCTAATATGATCTAAATTCAGAAAATTTAATTTTCATAGCAGGCCAGGTGTGAATTACTTATGTTTGCTGTAGAATGCTTATTTAGACTAATAATAAATTTACTTTGCTGTCTAAGGCTAGTCAGAGAATGTGGGGATGAGGCAGGATGTTTTCAGTTAGCCAGAGATGATCCACAAAGTGAACAGTCCACACAGAGGTCACTGAGTTGGATGGTTGCAAATATATTGACATTAGAGTGAAAACTCCTTCCTTTGGGTAAACTAAAGAAAGATACAGTATATTGAAAAATTTTAAGATGGTGTTATACAAAAGAAAAATTTGGGTCTAACGTGTCCATGAAGACTGTCAAGTGAAGAATGGTGGAGATTCTGGGCGTCTGAGCAGCCAGCCTGGATGAGTGACTTCAGGGACAGAGAGCAGAGGAAAGCAAAATGAATTTCCTTTATTTACCCAAAGTTTGTTGACTGAATTTTTGTATAGGTCTGGGAAAATAAGCCTAAACAAATAGTTGTAGCCTTAGAAAAACTGTTTTCCCATTTCTTTCTGAGTTAGAATCAGCATAGCCTCCCTGTCGCCTTAAATGTAAAAATCCTATTTTGATTAATACCCCAGCCTAAGAGTTACAGCAATACAAGAGACTGAATCTATTTTTGTTTTGGGTCTTTACCTCATATTATGAAATTAGTAAGACACTTCATAAATTTTGCCCTGAACACTGGTGTGCCCAGGTATGCCGTGCTCTCTGTTTCCAGTGGTGGTAATTTTAAGGCCTAAAGAAAGCTGGGGTTAATCCTGAAGCTAAGAGTAAATGTTTCTTGCATTGATTTTGTTCTGTGGTACAAATAACATCTATGAATATCATATCTGTATATATATGAACCAAGTTGTGTGCAGAGAGGTTGATATAACTATATTTACAGAAAATGATTTTTACAATTAAAGTTCACATTTTAACATGAACATGTGTGCTGCAGTCCCTTCTCCAGTCCGAGAAAAGTGGTTTGTGGTAGGAAGGAATGGTGGCCCACCCCATGAGCAGAGCCCATGGGGGCTGAACCTGACTTCACTTACAGTGACGATGGAGGACATTGGGGAGCTGCTACCTGTCCTTCTGGAAGCCACGGTCTGGACAGACTTTCTCCAGGTAATGGGAAACAAAGTTGGGAATGACTATGCCACCCAGAAGAGACAGGGCTGTGTACCCTTAATTACATCAGGAAACTTCTGGAATCCCACAGAGACCACCACCCTTTTACTTTACAAACTCTCTTATCAGAGTTCAGTTTAAAATTGTATGTGTGTATATATATATTGTATGTGTATATTCTAAACTTTTATTTCATTTTTAACCTTTTGGGGAGTTAGAGTATGTATTTAGAACCAGTATAGGGTACATTGCTATCACTGGCTCTGTAAATCAAATGGCCTGGATTCAAAGCCAGCTTCCTATTTTCTGAGCTATGTAACCATATATTATTACAGGCTGAGTATCCCTTATTCAAAATGCTTGGGACTTAGAAGTATTTTCAGATTTCAGATGTTTTAGGATTTTAGAATCTTTGCATTATAAATCCAAACCCCAAAATGTTCCACTGGGCACTTCCTTTAAGCATCATGGTGGCACTCAAAAAGTTTTGGATTTTGGAGGATTTCAGATTTCACCTTTTCAGATTAGGGATGCTCAACCTGTACCTACTTCCTAGGGTTGTTGTGAGAACCGATGCATCAGTTACATATGTGAAGCACTGGCACTTAGGAAATATAACTGCATCCAAATATGTGCAAAGCAGCTGTGAGGAAAGGAAAAAAGCTTTATAAACTTTATCTTAAACTCTATCTTACAGAAAGCAACTATGGTTTTTTTTTTTGTTTGTTTGTTTTGAGATGGAGTCTTGCTCTGTCACCCAGGCTGGAGTGCAGTGGTGTGATCCTGGCTCACTGCAACCTCTGCCTCCCGGGTTCAAGTGATTCTCCTGCCTCAGCCTCCAGAGTAGCTGGGACTACAGGCGCCTGCCACCACACCCAGCTAATTTTTGCATTTTTAGTAGAGACGGGATTTCACCATGTTGGCGAGGCTAGTCTCGAACTCCTGACCTCAGGTGATCCACCCGCCTTGGCCTCCTAAAGTGCTGGGATTAATCTTTGCATCTGAGTGAAATTAATCTGTCAAAAAGTTTGTACTAAACGGAATCACCTGGGAAGGGTGGCCGACTTCCCGATGCAGATTCCCGGGCCCCATCCCCAAATTGGGTTATTAGGTTCTCCTCTAGATAGCTCAGCATTCCAGCTTTG